ATACATATATATATATAAATCAATACTAATTTAAGTAATTTAAAATTAATGAACACTTACCAGCTGTTTGATCCTTGTTCGTCGACGAAATATTATCATGCAATATTATACTTTCCAACGTGTTTGAGAAGACAACTAACTGACAAAAAGTAACGTTAAAGAGATAATTTTTTAAAACAACACGCGAAATTTCATACCTCTCCATAATCTGCCGCACTCATTTCCACATCGCCTGGCTTTGAAATTATCGTCCAATTTCGAAAAAAATCTGACGAAACGTCGTTAAATTTTCGCATTCTTTCAGCCTGCGATTTTAAATACGATCCATAAACGTTCTGGGCTTTGATCTGTAGCAACAAGGATTTTGATAAAGAGACAATTTGACAATAGTTAAAAAATGAGCCAAAATCATATTCTTTCCATTTTTAATAGCAATCTTTAAAAGACTATCGCATATTAATATCAACACCTAGAAGTTTCCCTAACTAAACGAAGTCAATTGGTTGGATACAGAAGTAGTTTTTAATCTTATAAAACGTGAAAGAGGCAATTAAAACTGGTACAAAAATGTTCAACCTTCGACCTCTAAATAAGAAAAACATGGAGGTAGATATAATTAGTTAGAATTATAATTACCTACAAAAAAAGTTACATTTCCATTTCATCAGGAGCTACACATATAATAACACTACGAAGAAAGTAATAGCAGTTGATTAATTAAAACCGCGAAAGATTAATCAAACGATCAATTCAACTAAAAAATTTTACAGGCAAAAAATTTAGAATTTGTGTACATATTCTTTTTTCAAAAGAAAAATTACTTTATTTTATGTGTGTAGTTTAAAGTCTGTTCATGTTCTTATAACTAGCACCTAAACCAGTCGTAATTTAAAACTGTAGATTAAAACTTCAAGGTTGAATTGCAAAAGTGACCTACAATTAATTATAACAGGTGCTATAGATTTATTTGTAGTACATTGATTATTTAATTTTGTGAAACCGATCATTCAAAACATGGAACACAGATCAAGTCTTCTCTTTTGTGTAAAGTAAACGCCAGAACGTAAAAACCAAAGTTCAAAGATAACATTATATCTGTTTGCCCCAACTTCCTAAAAATGACGAGATATATATTGAGTATCTACGTTTTATGTCTATTTTCAATATTCTTTGACACGAAGTGGAAGAAAAATTGTTAAAAAAAAAAGCTGCATTGTTCTTAATATGTGTATGTCAGTTAATATCTTGCGATATTCTGCTCCCCTCTAATAAGAAACGAAAAATAAAGTCAATTTTTTAGATTGTTAAGTAAAAAGATACAAAAAAGGACGTAGAGAACCATGCAGATTTAAAATATTCGAAAAGGTTACAGGTAGTAACAATTTCCACGTAAAAGATGCACCTTCAGGTGCAAAATGGGCTACCTATTTTCACAATTTAATTAATTTTAAACAAATGACACCACCTAATTTTGCATTGATTAACTAATTTTATGTATACGTTGACATAATAAAGTCATTTGGTCATCATAAAGTTAAATGTAACATAAATATCGCTAAATTAGGGAAAAATTTCTCCAGGAACTCGGCTGTATAAAAATTTTTGCCGAGTTATTCCAGTTATTTTAAGCATATTTAAAGAATTTATTTTGTATTTAAACCATAAAAAACATTTCAAATTTTCATGCTGCATACATTTTAAAGCCCCTTTGTTGATATTTTGTATTTAAATTGATTTTAAATAGTAAAATTCAACAAAATCTAAAAGTAGGGTTAAGGTACTGACAATTAAACTCCGCCGCCGCCACAAGAGCAAGCGATTTTCGACCTTACTCCACCACAGCGCGTTTTCCATTTTATTTATGAATGAAATAGTTTACGTTTTCATTCATTTTACTATCGTAGTACTACAGATAGTACGTGCTTTTTTATTCATGTAAAGTGAAAGGTCATTGAACCCATTTAAAAGAAAACAAATGGGAATATCAATTTAATTCAATCAAAATAGACTGTAAAACACTAAAATTGACTGTTTTATATAAAATAAAGGTAAAATATTAATAATATATTACTACTTGGACTACAAAAACAATTTTAAACCAAATTTATCATTCAAATATCACAAATAAAACAAATAATCTTCATTGTAAGGTGATTTTAGTAATAAAATATTTGTCTACAAGGGTGCGACAGATAAAAGTTTCATTTTTGCCTTGAGCTTTGTATCCTAATCAAATATTCTTGTAGAATTAAAAATAAATAAGGTGTTGTGAATTATTTCAGCACAACAATAATAATTATTCACAAAAGCATGTTGTTTTATTGTGATACCCCTAGTTACAATTAAATTCTATTGTGTATTAACACGTACTACTTCTTTTGTTTCTATAAAAACGCTGTTCTTCTGTTTCTGGAAATGTGTTTTGATTAATTAACAGATATACATATGTTACGTAATGGATTTTTGTGATTATGCACATGTGTTCAAAAGCATTCAGGCGACCTTATATAAGCTCGTTAATGTATTTATGAACAACCAAACACTACTAACACTGGTCTATTAATTATAGTTTCTAAGGTTTCATAACTAAAAGGGCATTGACACCAGAACTATTGTTACACATAGAAAAAGCTACTAACTAGGTATCTAATTAAAAAATAGTTATAAGTATAGAAAATGCAAGGGTTGTAAAGTTTATTGCACAAATTCAAGCATTAAACCCATTAATTCGTTTAAAGTTAAAACGTTCAGCTATGTAGCCGTTGTACCGTTTTGATAGTTGTCTGGCCGTATTATAAAATACAAGATATCGTGTTTCAATAGGAAAAAGAATACGAAAATGGATCAAATTCATCCGTGAGAAGAAAATGTTTTACATTGCTTGCGGTTTCCATAAAATCCTTAGGTATTATTAACAATAACATCGGGGTAAAAGAATTTGAAACACAAAAACAATACACGTGGAAGGAAGTCTAATGGGTCTTACAATTCAAAACAAATTAAAAAGAAATTAAGTTTACATTCTTCTTTGAAGTATGTTGAAGTATTCTTATGGTAAAAATGAGATGCTTCCTGTTTATTAAAACTTCTTAAATGGCAAATACTTTAGTTAATGTTTAAGATCCGTACATATTTGTTTTACGATTGCATAGTATATCAACAACCCCAATTTACTTAATATCAGATAACAAACCAAAATATCCAAGCATGTTTATTACGAGCCCATTGGTATCTATCTATCATAACGTATTTTAAATACATGTTAATCAAATAATTTTCAATCAGTTACCGTATTGTGAATCTAATTATGTTAATCTTGGGTCCACTCAATTTTAATTTTATCGCAAAGGTCGAAAGTTAACCTGCTTGATTGACCAAACTGTTCTAATTGAAGTGGGTTACCGTTCCTTATTTATTCCGTCTAGTAAATTACAATAAATTTCTACTAATTACGTGGTAATTTCTGGACTTGCACAGCCGAAGTTTCTAGTAATAAATTGTTCTTTAATTGTGCACATAATTAAGATATTTCCACTGGAATTTTGTCTTCTTTAAATTCACGTAAAATGACCTTACGTTTTTGTTCCAAGTATTGTTTAAAAATTATACAATAAGTACATAATTTATAATACCATTGTCTCTTTAGTGAATCGGATATATCTGTATATGACAATGGGTTTTCTAAGAAAACGTTAAAGTTCATGATTTCAAGTTACGGGAAAATGAGTCAGGAAAAGCAAATGCAAAGGCTTCATAAATAGGAGTTATTATTTAAACTAAATTTGTCTTAAAACAGTGAGTAAAAAAGTAAACTTTGGAAGATTCAACTGGTACAGTTTCCCTACAACACGTTATACATTAAAAATATAATACGAACGTCGAGCAAAAATCATAATTATTTCGGAAAAAAATTGCTACAATGAAAAGCACTACGAATAACATAGGCATTCCCAGTTTTAATTCCCTCAGGCTTCATAAGTTACATACATGTACCTACGATAAGCTACAATGTTCTTTCTAATACTTTAGAGCCTTGAGGGAAATCCTACATTTATTCGAAAGACAACAAATCATGACGTATCTCTCTTACCTTGTCTGGGAGAGTACTTGTATTAAGAAAAGACATTTTCGAATAATTTGATAACTCTTCACAAAAATCCACCAAATCCATATCCGTCAGTTGTAATTCAGAAGCCAATTGATCAAACTCTTCTTCAGCAGAAATCAGCCTGTTAGATAAAAGCTGCAAGCCAACGATAACTAACAGCAAAAACTTCATTTTGACTCTCTATAAAAAATGAAAAAATAATTAGTCATTAAATACCCACTGTAAGTACTTAAAAAGTTTAATTACTTTATTCTACAACCACCGCCCGACTCGAACAGGTCTAACTAAATTTCCATGCGATAAACACAATAGCTACTTGTTTCATTTTCAATTTGTTTTTTTGTTTTGTATGCTTCACAAATCAAGTGAAACCTCCAACAAAGCAAGTGAAACAGTTATTATTATTTGTATTTATACTGTTAAAAACGACCAAGAAATTGTGTATTAAATTATTTACAAAGATAAATGTGTCTTCATCGTAAAGATTCAAGTCGAAATATTTGAAATCACGCAATATTTTGTAGAATCACTTAAAATAACCCACGACTAGTACTACTACTTCCGCTATTGTCAAAAATAACACATTTTTTCACAAAAAAATGCAATTTTCTGAGAAGCATCGCCACTAAAATAGAAGCGAAGTTGCTACCTCTTTTAAAGTCACAAAATATATCGATAAACGCTAATCCTGATCGGAATAATAATTTTTCAGTAGGCTTTTAAGTTAACGATGTTGCTTATTAGGTATATTCCGGTATTATAACAACTTTCTATTAATTTTATTAGGTATTTTCAGCTTTGAAATGAATGAAAACTTCCACAAAAGTGCACCGTAAGTATTTATCTTTGCATCAGTTTGATTTTTCCAATATTAAAGAACACATAGTTTGTTATTAATTTAAAAAACTTTTTGGCGGTTTAACTTACGATGTAAAATAAAATTCCCATAAATAAATAATAAGTATCTACATTAGATTCCGATTTCAATTCCAAGCCAGCCAATAAAAAATAAAGCCGCATTACAAGAAGGCCGTATTTCCACCCCTAGTAGGGTATTATGCGCAGAGAGGGACGTTTTTCCTCCAAAAACTGGCGAAGGTTTTTGCCCCGTAATAGGAAACAAAGGGGGTGTAAAGATAAGGGTGGAAATGTACTTCAACAGATTACGCATGGGAAAACAAAGAAGACTCTGACAGAGTCGAAGTCGTAATGGACGAATCTGAGGGCATTATTAGGGTGGAAAACGACATTTGAAATAAGATTATGACTTACGACGGCATCTTAAAGCAGATATAGCATCATCATTTCGTAGGAAATCATTACATTAATAGAATGTTTATTGGAAATTACAACCCTACAAAAGTCTTAATACAAAAGTTACCGATTTCTTGAAGACCGCTAGACACTTCAAAGGTCCTTAATACATGTATATTTTATCACAAATTCATGAATTAAATATTTTAGTAGCGCAGGGATGCAGGTAAACTCCACCAACGTTAACGAATCAATGAAACCGCAGTATATCTATCCTACATCTTCAAAAATAGATGAAGTCTTTTGTTGTAAAGTTATCTATCTACCTATTTGTTTCATGATAAAGGAAAAACTTTTTGTAAAACAGTCTTTCAAAAAATCCCTTGCAATAAGAGGATACTTTAAGCAATGAATAAACAAATATTACTACATAATTACTTTTAATTCAGACTGTATTCAAGTAAAAAGAGCGAATTATTGAAAAGCTCATCGATAAAATTTGGTTTTAAGTTGTTTAAATATCCGTTACAAGCAAATTTTATAAATCAATTTTATTTTCAAAAGTATCACTCCACATTGAAACTGTAACGTTATTATCTAAGCTAATATCGAAAAAAAATACAGTTATGTATTAGAAGACACTCACAAAACGATTCCTCCCTCAAATTCCAATTTTCAAAGATGCGTCTCCTAATAAAACATAAAAAGTAAGCACTTGATTGTTCAATTAATACGTGAGTCACTTTATTTGTTCAGTTTCGTAACAAATGCAGTTTAAAACCGATCCGAAAAGTAACTTGTTAAATATTTACTCGTCGAACCGCATTATGCCACATTGCGACCGCTTTAGACACACTGATCAACGCGACTGCCTTTTGCCTGCCTGCTGTATACCACCATGCACCTTGGAAAAGGCATCATACAATTTGAAGGAATACGCGGCCTGTGTGTGACACAGCAGTACACAGTCGATCAGACAAAATACAGACCTAGAAACGAACAAAAATGTATCCAACCAAGGAACTTGGCTTTACTGACTGACTAACTTTGTAAAATCAGGTTGTTTAATCGTACAGTTTGACTCATAATTGTAGATCAACATAACAAATGCAAAGTAGTTCGTAAAAAGTAGGAATAGTTACATAAAGTTCTCTTCATAAGACTGTTTGGTTTACATTACAATTATGTACCTGTTTCAGTTATTCCACCAATTTTGGAATCTATTCTTGCAAAGCAAATCAAATTAAGTTAAAAAAATACTGGATTTCTTTTCCAAGTGTCCTATTTGACTGACGCAGTGAAGTCGTCATAATGAATTGTACCGGAAAAGGGTCCATATTTTCGTCATGGATGAAGTTTGAACTTTGTACACCACACAGTACATGCAGTTGCAATTTATCTTATCAATACTTGCTTCAAATTTTTAGGAATGTATGTCAATAAATTAGTAATTACTTTAGATAAAAGTTTACTTTTGAAATTTCACTTTTTCGTTATCTCGAATTTATCTCTTAATAGTTTATAATTTGAATTGTTTGATAAACATGTTAAAAGTATGCGCATGAGAAAACTAAAATTAAACTTAGTACACCCCTGCTCTTCTTTATACGAGATTAAAAGCATCCATAAACTTTTTAAAACTATTAAAACTTTTTGAAAACTCATTATTACTTGATTAAATACCTACTCAAAATAATTAGACTTGTTGTAGGTGTGCACATTTTGACATTACTTTTAAAAAACGAAAATTACACTTATTGCACTCTCGTCTTTCTTCACAAGAAATTTTAGATAAATTCGCCACATTATTTAGGTTTCCAAATTGGAATGAAATAGCTTTTTATCACTGCAGTAATAAATAAAACCGCAAACTTTTTTAAAAATCAATTTTTAATAAGACACTTAATTAGTACATAATAAGAACAATTAAGTTTATCAAAGAGATATACAATTTGCATTTTTCAAGGCACTATTTAGTTGTGAATATAGCAAATCAAAAACATGCAAGCATTCAATGTATAAATATGAAATTATTTACTTGTTATTCAATGTGCGGCTGTAATATCACATTTAAATCAGCCTAGTAGATAAATAATTAATTAATTAATTGAAAAGGCTCTAATACTTAAAAAAAACAGATTTGTAAGAAATGACAAGCACTTTCGAGCACCACTGGAACTGTAACTTAAAAACATAAATTGTGCATTTAAAAATTAATATTCGATTTATAATACTACTATTTTAGCTGCTATGTTACAAAAATATTTAACTGTGTGTATCTAACCCTCTGTAGTGATAAATAGTGTTACAATTGACTGATTGTCTGATATTGTGTTTTACTTTACATTAATAAAGCAGGAAAAGTTATGAGAATAAATTAATAGTAAGTTTGTTAAAACATTAGAAAAGTAAAAATACACTTAGAATTAATAAGAAATTAAAACAGTCACAAACATGGTAGTTTTACTAAAATTAAAGCAAAACAAATTAATAAATATTGTTTGCAGATATTCCACTTTTCTTTAATTTTTTTGTTGACTGAATAAATTAATTTATTAATTAATTATTGGAATAAAAACAAAAATTATCAATAAATTGTAATAATTACGTAGGCTTTTAAGTTA